CTCTCTACCCGTGTTGGAAATGCTTTGTTTGAAGTAGCTGGACCCCAGCTGACCACAAGGTTTAGAAAGGAAGCAGAAGATGAAACAATGCCTGGTGACTCAGTACTGCTGGAGGGCTTACCTGGACTTCAGTCTAATGCAGTCTTCTTCCTCAATCTTGTTCCCTGGGACGGTGACCCAGACGGAGTTGCAGTCCAGGTGAGATAGTAAAGGAGGGATTTTATTATTCTGTCTGTTTGTGAGGACATTTTATAATAATGAAGCCATTTGTCTTAATCCAATATTGTTATGTTCTATAGGTTCTTCGAATGAGCATCAACACAATCCTATCTTCTTGTGAGAAGAAAGGATTCAGATCTGTTGCTCTTCCCGTCCTCGGTGCTGGGATGGCCCTGCAGTTTCCTGTCAGTGAAGTGGAGAGAGTGTTAATGGAGGAAGTTTATGTATTTGAAGAGGAGCGAGCAGGCATCACACCATTTCTGATCCACATCGTCATTCACCCCGATGATGAGGAGACACACGAGGTTATGACATAGCACTTTTCCCTAAAAATCAACTACTGACAATTACGACGCTGAGAGTCGAAGAATGCCACCAACACCAAACTCTTATATTGATTTGTGCTTTAAAAAAGAAACTCTGAATATAGTAATCAAATAGGTTCCAATAGTAAGCTCATTTACCATCTCATTTGCCAATATCAGTCAGCAGGGACAGTCTCATCTGACCCCAGTATTATGTGTAATAATATACTGTACAGAAATTGTTACTAACGCTGTTAATTTGTTGTCTTTACAGACATTTGGCTCTGTCCAAAATGGCAAATTCACTGAAGATTTTCACCACAAAGACCCAGACCAAGGTGAGTGTAGGAAAATATATACAACTAAGAATCAAAACAGTGTTTTTTATTTGATCTGTTTTTTCTTTTCTTTTCGGGCACCTAAAAATCTCGAGTTAAAAAAGAGACAACATCTAAAACATCAACAGGGAATTACTACATCAGTTAGAGAATATAAAAGACATTCAGTCCATCACAGTGTACAAAATACACAGCATTTGGACAACAGCTCAAATACCTGAAAGTTTGGAGGATTCAGACAGTCTTACATTAACCCTCCAAAGACTGAACAAAAGCTTGACCTAATTATCATTTAGTGTTCAGGTCTCATATTATCCCTCCTGCGACAGACCCATCTGTTCTCATACCAACAGTGACAGTGGTCAACAACCTAAAACCCACAAGTTGTACTCTGGATATTTATAATAACCGACCAAAAGCTTGGCCTAATAGCAAACTGCATTCTCCTCTTATTCTTTAGTATTGACTCTGTGTCTGACTAAGCCTATACTGTAAAATCTGCTTCCTATTTTAAACCTCAAACCATGACCCAAAAATATTTCAAAGGCAGCAAAAGTAAGAAACAAATGTACTTAACAGAGTCAACTTTCTCCTCTAGATTCAACTGCGATGAGGTTGGTCCTGCTGGGAAAAACTGGAGCTGGGAAAAGTCACCTGGGGAACACCATTCTTGGAGAGGAGCTCTTTGCCACTTATGACTCTCCAAACTCTGGAACAATGAAATGCCAAACAGAAACCAAAACAGTCAGTGGAAGAAGCATCACTCTGATCGACACCCCTGGTTTCTTTGACACAGGAAGGTCTGAGGAAGATCTGAAGCCTGAGATAATGAGCTGTATGACAGCGTGTGCTCCTGGGCCTCATGCTTTTCTCATTGTGCTTCGAGTGGGTAAATTCACAGAGCACGAGCAGGCTGTCATCACTAAGATAGTTCAGTATTTCTCAGATGAAGCTCTAAAATATGCTGTCGTTGTTTTCACTCACGGTGATCAGCTCAAGGAAAATATGAAAATTGAAGATTTTGTCAGTCAGAACAAAAATCTGAGTGATCTGGTGTCAAAGTGTGATGGTCGGTGCCACGTCTTTGATAACAAACACTGGAACAACAACCAGCCAAACAACTACAGGAGCAACCAGTTCCAGCTGGAGGAGTTGCTGAAAACAATAGAAAAAATGGTGGTGGAAAGAAAAGGAGGTTACTACACAAATAAAATGCTGCAACATTTGGAGACAGCAATACAAGAACAGGTAGAGCACATTAGACACTCAATGCCAGATAAAACCCCAGAAGAGATCAGAAAGCAGGCTAAAACTAGTGTGATCAGTAGGTTTCTGATCCAAATGGCAGGGACGGGAACAGGAGCTTTGCTCGGTGCTTTTTTCGGTGTAGTAACATTGGCTGAATTTGCTATCAAAGCTGTGAAGAACCCACAATTGGTGAATGTCACAACAAAGCTTTCCAGATTTGTGCCAGCTGCACAACAACAGAATGCATTAGTAGCTGCTGGAGCAATAGGCTTGGTTGGAGCAGCAACTGCAGGAGGAATAATGGGAGGTGTAATTGGAAATGAAGCAGCTAAAGATTCAGAGTCACTTTCAGAAGCTGTACAGAAAGCATATAAGGCTGTACAGGAGGAAAGAAAATCTCTTACTCATGTAAGATTTTCATAATAACCAGGTACAGTAGTCCCTCGTTTATCGCGGGAGTAAAATAATAGCCAACTTTAATTTTTTACAGTTATTATAGATGTTTTAAGGCTGTAAAACCCATCACTACACACTTTATACACTTTTCTTGTTGTGTTTGACATTTTTGTGTTTGTTGGGAGAAAACTTACAAACACACAGGACAGCTCTTCAGAGTCACGCTGCTAGTGATCGAAGATTTATGTAGATTTGACTACCTGAACTCATTCTGTACTGTACAGGAGACACGGCACGAGATTGATTGGCAGTGGTCTACAGGACGCAGAACACAATGCGTTGTTAAAATTTAAAAAAAGAAAAAAAAGAAAGTCGTAAAAGGCGTTACACAAAATTAGTGTTTATTTGGAATCTGGTTTGTGGCAAACTATCATATATTTAGTCAGCAGTTTCCCTCCTTCATGAAGGAGATTTTGTTCTTCAGCCACTTTAGCACTTTATCTACTAACATTTTGTTTTTTCTTACTCCGCTTTGGTGGTGGTGGGAACATATTGTTTGGTGTATTTATGTTCAATAGGTTTGTGATCCATAAACAACTAAAACGTTGAGCTGAAAGATTCTCACAAGATCTATGAGTGTGATAGCTGTGTTTATGGGGTTGTTGCTTGAACTACCTAGTGCCTTGATTCACTGTGATCATAATTTTTCATACAGGTGTGACTAAAGTTGAAGAATGTTTGAGACCATGAAACACATCAAACTTTAAAAACAATAACACAACAACACACTTAAGATTGAAGAAATTAGGTTTTGTTTGATTTTTCCCTGATATTGTCAAATCTCTATTTTAACTTAATTGTAAAGTATCTAATAATAATAGAACTACCTGATATGTGTATGCTATATTGCTGATATGACTGACAGATCAAAGATGTCTTATTAAGCAATAAAAGCTATAATCTCTGACAAGATTTCCCATGCCATGGTTTTGCTGTTGTTGTACTGCACTTACATGTTGTGATCAACAAGAGACACTCTAAGAAAATGCTTTGATTCATGTGATGCCATTACCAGCATTAACATCAATTTTATTCATATAGTCCCAAATCACAACAGCAATCTCCTCATTGTGCTTTGTAAGGTAAAGACCCCACAATAATGCAGAGAAACCCCAACAATCAATATGAGCAAACACATGGCAACAGTGGTTAGGAAAAGTTCACTTTTAACAGGAAAAAAGCTCCACAAAAACCCGGCTCAGGGAGAGGGCATCCATCTCCTGTGACCATTTAAGGGTTAGGAGAGGTAGACACCTATTAATAAGAGCCAGAGACTATTATTAGCTATGATTAAATGCAGAAAGTGTATAAATTAGGGATGGCACAATACCACTTTTAATGTCTGATACCGATATCATAAATTTGAATATCTGCCGACACCGATATGAATCTGATGTAGTCTGTTTATGATCAATAAAAAAAATTTAATTTATTTTGCTGAATGTTGTAAAAGTTCATACTAAACAAAACACTAGACACTATTATACTTGTATTAAAAAATAAACTGCACCCAAAATATTTTACAGTTCAACATTATTAATCTTTGTATTTGAACTTTTAGCAGAACTTTAAATGTAAATATTTAAAGTAATATTCAAAAGTAATTTAAAATGTGATTTTATGCAGATTTCAAAAACTCTTTGGTTTTGAAAAAAAGTGCAATATTAGCACAAAATAATGTTTATATTCAACAACTTAGAAAAAAAAAACAAGTTGTAGAATGAATTCTTTTATACTTACAGCTTAACATAAATAGACATTCAGAGTGGAAAGCAATGGAAATAAATGCAAACATGGCTTATTGTGACACTCATCTTTTATCAAGATGGATGTCAGTGTAAGCTCTTTCTATCAAATTTAACCTGAGATTGAATTTTTTGTAATTTTGATACAAAACGTGTACAAGTATGAAAAAAGTGTTTTGTTTTGTTTTTTATTGTTGTTTTTTGGAATCATGAAACTATTTAGCCTGCAACAATGCGTTTTGCAATGTAAAACTTGAGTCTATCCATTGTAAGGTCAGACTTAGCAACGACAACACAGAGACGTCCAAAATGTTGAGTAAAGAAGAAACACTGAGTGCAGGGCTGTGCAGAGATTTTTGAAGGGGCATGTGCTACAAGTTTAAAAGGAACAAACAGAACTGGGGTGACCCACATGTCCCAATGTGTGAAATGACTCTCAAGTCACAGTAACCTTAGGTTTGTCTGTCTGTGACCCATTGTTCTGCTTGGGAAGTAGACAGAGAGAGGAAAAAGGAAGGCATAGAGGTCAGAACATCTCTTCCCCTACAACGTCCCTAAATGGGTCAATGCAATCATTGAGGAAATGGAAATACTTTTAGGTTCTATTTCTCTTAATCGATGTTTATGGATGTTTGTCTATGTTTGCTAAATTCTTACTCAAATAAACTTTTTTTAAATGTTCATATCAATACACTAGGATGGACAGCAGCTCCAGATAGACTAGAGAAGGCAGCCAAAGGTTTGGAGAGATGAGAGGGGGCTGCACCTGTGACATCTAGTTTTGTGAATCAGTTTTCCTGAACACTTTTTAATCTTGCTAAACATTACTAGCTTGCTCAATCTAATAAAGCAGTGTTTTCGACACAAGTCACTGTTAGAATAATGTTCGAATGCCCGGTATGCCCGAAGACCAGTCCAGCCCTGGCTCAAGCTGCATCATAGTGTAATGCGTGGGCTCACTAGATGGTTTGGAATCTCTCTGAATAATTAAGAACAGCAAGATGAAGACGGATAACTTTTTAGCAGCCTCTTTACTCTCAGCACACAGCAACAACCACCCACACTTCCTGTGTGCCGCCCTCATGAATATTTCACTGGCCTCTCAGAAGCCAGGAAATCTTATACTCAGATCAAAACAGGGAAAACAACCA